TTTCCTCTTAAAGATTGTTCCTTCAAACCGAAAAATTGCGTTGCACTACTGAAAATCCCCGTAGATAAACCCCAGTTTGCGGATGTAGCTTCATTCCTCAAGAACTGTGTTCTGGATTTGCTCTCACCTTCCACCCTGTAATGGTGAAGGATATCCTAAGGCAGTTCTGGTACATTGCTGAAGCAAAGACCCTTAAAGACAAGGATGCAAATGTCGTCATCATTATATTATGTGAGATCAATAATATTACAGTCAGTTTTGTCTTATTAACGGTTCAGACTACTCTCGACCCCTAAAGTCCGTTCCCTACTCCCGATATCCAGACAGTGATCATATCGTCAAATTTCTGGACGATATTCACTACGACTGACCCTAGAAGAAAAAATTTAATGCTAAGCTCAACAAGTCTCTGACATAGATCGAGAAGAACCGGATGTCAACGATCTAGCAATACATGTTTTCTCATTTCATTCAATGCATGGGTGGAAAATACAGGATGCCAAGATCAAGCAAGCAGGGTGGCGCTGAGCATCAGTTGTTTAATCATCATAGACATCAACGTCAACTACGCTTAGCTAATATTTGATGATCCCCTACTTAATCTGAACAAACGTCAATGGGAAAAGGTGGTTCCTTACACCAGGTTTCTAAGCTGGATTCTAGCCAGAATCTTAACAACAAAGTACCCGGCTCAAAGCGACCTCCCTTCTTCTTCTTCTCCTCCTTCTTCTCCTCCTTCTTCTCCTCCTTCTTCTTCCATGTGTGGCAAACCCCCCTCAATCATTCCCAGTTAATATCCCCTTATCCTCTCGAAAGAGGACACCATCTGAAACCACTCTTAATCCCTCAAAGAGGGTTAAGAAAGCCAAAAAGAAAAAAGCCATCTAAGCTAGCTGAGACCTCTCCACAGGTCTCAACTATTGAACTTCACCTTACCCCAAGGCATCCACTATTACCCTCCCTTCCTCTTCAGTTGATGTCATATGTGTAGCTCCTACCCCAACCACTTTAGTGACTCAAGTCACTAAATGTGTGATTCCCAGCAGCCACTGCTGATCCTTCACATCTCTTCTCAACCATTCTTTTCTCCCCTCTTTCTTTGGTCTCTATTAGACGAGCTAATGACCCGATAATGGTTGTATTCATTATTGGTGAAGCTATCACCACAGAACTTGATGATGTTCCTCTCAAATCCGTCAGCAATATGCGGTTGATCCTCTCGACAACGCATTTGAGATGCTCAACGATAATCCTTTGGATACCGCTGATGAACCCTCAGGTATACACCAAACCCCCTTCCTTTATTTCTTTGTTACTAACCCCGAGCTTTCTCATTCTTATACAAAAGAACTTTAATTATACAAGAATTCACTAAAAACTCAATAAAATAATATTAGTTCGAACAAATTTACCAATATATCCTTCATGCACTACCAAACAGGGCAATATTTCCGGCAACTTTGATGTCGTCTTCCCTTGTGACGATGGAAGGTAATCTGCCGGTAAATTCCTGGCGGATTATGTTCACCGAAAATACCCAGTTTTCTAGTAGTGATGTATGTATGAAATACATCCAAAGTGAACTTGTTTTTTCAATTGAAACAAAAAGAATAACACGAGATAATTGTTGTTTAAAATTCATGCATTACATGTTGCATTTGATTCATAAGATAATTGTGAAAGCTTACTATGCATATATTAGTTTTTTGTCTTTCTAAAGGTTTATTGTAAATCAAATAAAATTTCTCACTGAAAAATAAAATTTGTTATCTAAATCTTAACATCCAAACAAATAACTAACGGGCTTTTGGTTTAATAGAATGGTTTTAAAACATTATTATTATAAACAAATCCACGAAATCACATGAAATATCAACTTTGGATTTCAAACTGAATTCCAATTCAATCTCATGTTTTTTTAACAGGATTTTGAAATCACATGAAATATCAACTACCTCCATGGGATTTCAAAATCCTGTTCAAACCAAACATGAGACTGAATTGGAATTCAGTTCGAAGTCCCTTGAAATCCATTCCAATCCTACAAATCAAACGAGGTCTAAGAACATAAATCTCTCTCTCTCTCAAAATTTAGGAGAGATTCTATTGAGCATCGGACATGGTCGGTGGATGAAGGTTTTATGAAGCTTCAAAACTTATGCTTGTGCAATATTAACTCATAAACTTGAATTTAAGAACGTATGCTTCAATAAAAAAAAGGCTTTGTTTTTAGTAAGTTGTTTTTAGGTTTTTTTTACTAAATGCTTTATAATATAGTAAGACACACGTATATGTGTGTGGGCGCATATACACTCATACATATATACATACATACATAAATATATACATACATGCATGCATATATACATACATACACACATACATACATTCACGTGAAAGGTTTGATATTCAACGCTTCATCTTGGTTCTTGTTTCTTAACAACTATCGAAATGAAAAAATATATATCTTTTTGGACTTTTGGTCCTCCTCGTAAAACAACTTCTATTTTGAACCCATTTTTAAGGATAGACCATAAATGGAATTCAGAAAAATTGAAGTTTAGAGTTCGAAGAGTTTTTTAAAAAATAGCATAAACAGAAAGAAAAGCTTTTTTATTAATTGTTGAATTATCAAGTTGTGCCTCTTAGTTGGATTGGTATCTCATTACGGGGTGGCGATAGCGTTTAAACTGTGACTAAATTAGTTTTTTGCTTATTTCTTTAGATTTTTTTTTTGCTTTCTTGCTCTGTTCAATATTTTTCGTAATGATTAAGGGGGTGTTCGGGATTGCTTATTTAAAACAGCTTATGTTTTTCTATAAAAGTGCTTATCAACTTATTATAAGTTAACTTTTCAAAAACTGCTTATTACCGGTTTGACATCGATATAAATTGCTTATCCAAACACTCAAAAGTGTTTGTTAACAATGTCACACCGAAATAAATCAATAAATTGTTTTTATAAGGAATCCCAAACACCCCTAAGTTGTTTGGTGTTTTCTTGTGGCTTTTCTTGTGATGCCTTTAGTTTGCTTGTTAGTTTGTGGTAGATGGTTTTTTTGTTTTTACGTCTCACTGAAACTTTGTGTTACCGTATAATTTTATAGCCTATATTTCTTATTATGTTAATAACAAATTAAAAACAATATTAAAAATAAATTATAAAATATTAAAAGAAGACTTTATTTTATGAAGAGTAAATTTCGTTTTTCGTCTATGTGGTTTCTTAAGAATTGTGTATTTCGTTTCTAGGATTTTGAAATTTTGATTTTTGTTCCTATGGTTTGCAATTTATTTATATTTTCGTCCCTGAGATCAAAACACTAGTTTCAAGGTGACGTTTGGTTCGCAAAATGTTTTTAGATGGAATGAAATATGTTAAAAGAATTTGAGTTTGAAGGAATTGGAATTGAATGTTGTTAGGTTTGATCACCTGTTTGGTTGTCATACATTATAATGGAATCTGTTAAGAAATTGGAACTTGTCTGTTTAGTTCACATAATGTAGCTTTGGAATTGGAATGAAATATTGATTAATGACCAAAATGCGTTTTTTGAAAATTTTAATTTTTTTAAAACTAAAAATACTTTAATAAAACAATTATTTAATATGTAAAACAATTATAAAATACACAACCCAAATATAATCATAACAATGTTACTAAATCAACGATGGTCAGTGATGGTTCAGATAAGTGGTCGTCCACGGTAGTTTAGATCGGTGGTGGTGGACAGTGGTTCAGATGGCAGTGGTCGGCAGTGGTTCAGATCGATGGTGGCCTACTATGGTTCAGATTAAGGTGGTCAATTGTGGTTCAGATGGACGGTGGTTTAGATCGGCGGTGGCGGCGGTGGTTCAGATCGGTGGTTGTTCAAATCGTTGGTGGTCGGCGGTGTCGGGCAGCGATTCAGATCAGTGTTAGTCATCGGTGGCTGGCAGTGTTTCAGATCGGTGGTGGTCCGTCGTGCTTTAGGTGGCAGTGATCAGATGTGGTTCAAACCGATGGTGGTTCAGATCGGGGGTGATTCAGATCGGTGATGGATCAGATTGGTGGTTGTTCAGATCAATGATGGTCGATGGTGGTTCAGATCGGCGGTGGCCGGTGGTGATTTAGATCGGTAGTAGTTGGCGGTGGTTTAGATCGATGGTGGTACGTGGTGGTTCAGATGACGATAGTCGATAGTGGTTCAGATCGGTGGTGGTCCATGGTAGTTTAGAAGGCAATGATCGGCGGTGGTTCAGATCAGTAGTGGTCGATGGTGGTTCAAATCAGTGGTGGTTTCAGATCGGTGGTAGTCGGTAATGGTTCAGATGGCGATGGATGGCGGTGGTTCAGATGACAGTCGTCGACAGTGATTCAGATCAATGGTGGTCAAAGGTGGTCTGCGATTGTCATATTGGATTTCGTGAGATTAGAGTATATTGGGTTAAAGACATGTTTGGTATTATTGAAATAGAGAATTTTATTCCATCAAATTTGTCATGTTGTCGCTAAATAATGTTAAATTTTATTTATTTGTGGAATTTATAAGATTTTAAAGATTGCTTTCATGAAGAAGAAAAAAACCAAACAAAAGAACGAAATTTGGTCAATGAAATTCAACATTCCAATTTTATCTCAGAATTTGCGAATCAAACTCCTCTAAGTATTAAAGGCTAAAATAGAAATGAATCATAAATCATATAGATGTAAAAAACAATAAATTTTAAATCATAAAAACGAAAAAGATAATAAATTATTAACTATAAAGATGAAAATTATAATTTCAAAATCATAAAAAGAAAAGTAAAAATCTTCAACAAACTTTAAGGACTAAAAACGTAATTTACCATTATAAATTTCATATTGTTTCAAGAACAACCAAACCCATGATTGCCAACTCCTTTTACCGCACATGACACGTCTAAGTAGGCACGCACCCCACCCCCACCCCTGTCTAAATTATAAATCCAAATCTTTTCAGCTTTATTTCTTCCAATCATCAAAATAAATACACAAAAAACATGTCATCATCAGCCACCCACAAACGTTCTTCTTCATCTCCAATGCCTCAACGCCGCCGCACTCCCCTCCACCACCCTTCACCGCCACCACCACTGCTCTCCTCCAAACCCAACCTCACCACCACCCTCTACCATACCCACATCGGTGTCTTCGCTGTCACTTGGTCTCGAACACTCTTTGGTCGTTCCCTCTACATCCATCTCCTCCCCACAACCACCATCGCCACCGCCGACGACGATGATTCACTGTCTTCCACCACCACCACCTCCACTTCCTCATTCCACCTCCAAATTAAACCCTTCATTTTCTGGAACAAACATGGATCCAAAAAGATTCCTGTCCCCAGAAACCAAAACGAGTTCATCCACATCTACTACGATCTCTCTCGAGCCAAATTCGCGTCGGGTCCGGAACCCATTTCAGGATTCTACATCGCCGCAGTTATCTCCGGCCAAATGGCACTCCTCATCGGAGACTCCCCCAAACAAGCTTACTCCAAGGCCAAACCCACAAACCCCGATAAAACCCAGATCACCGTTCTCCGACGGGAACATATTTTCGGCATAGCCACCAAAAAATACAACACCAAAGCAACATTCCGGGGTAAAACACGAGATATAACCATAGACTGCACTCGAATCGCCGCCGGAGAAGACTCCAGATTATGCTTCTATGTGGACAACAAAAGGGTATTGGTAGTGAAGCATTTGAATTGGAAATTCAGAGGGAATGAACGAGTAGAAATGGATGGAGTTCATATTCAAATTTCGTGGGATGTCCATAACTGGCTTTTCGATGAAGAAATTGAAGATGGATACGCATTGTTCATGTTTAGATTTGAGAAATCAGGGTTTGATTACCATGAAGATGACAAGTACCTAGCCAGATTAAATGCATCTGGATCTGGTCTGATAGGATTGGGATCAGGATTTGGGTTTGGATTCGAGAAGAAGAAGATGCAGAAAGGAATGTCTCGAACGGCGGCCGGAAGCTCCTCGTCGTCGTCTCTGTCATCGTTGTCGTCGGGATGTGGATCGGTGATGGAATGGGAGAGTGTGGAGGAGAATGAACTAAAAACCCCCTCTGGTTTTTCATTGCTTGTTTATGCTTGGAAAAGTTAAAACCAGATTCTAAGTAGTTTTTTTCTTTTTCTTTTTTGAATTTTTTTTGTATTAATTTTCTAAAATTGAGAAAATTTACGTATAACTATTTGTTGTTGGTTGTTTATTTTTTAACAAAAAACCTTGTTAAAAGTGGTCATAATTGAAGTATATCTGATATGATACGTTTTACTGTATGGTTCTGAAGAATACAGAGCAAGTCATGCGTAGACTGATAGTCTCAATGTTAACCAGATACCTTTTAATCATACTTGTGTATATGTAGAAATTTTGTCCCTCTCTAACACAACTATTTTGGAAAGAAATTTAAAACGGTTTCATGTATCATTACACGTATAATTACATAAGTTCCATTTACGATCGTTAGATATAAATGTGGATTGATAGTTACTAATCTTATAAAGAATAGTTGTATTGATACTTAGAGGGTGTTTGAGATTGCTTATAAAACAATTTATTGACTTATTTCGATATGCCATAGGTAATAAACACTTTTGAGTGTTTGAATAAACGATTTATACCGGTGCCAAAAGGTAATAAGAAGTTTTTGAAGAAGTTAAACAATTTTAACTTAAAATAAATTAATAAGAACCTTTGTAGAAAAATATAAGTTGTTTTAAATAAGCAATTATAAACACCCCTAATTATTAGTAGATCAATTTGATCAGATTTAATTTATCTTTTAATAAGAAAAAACAAATATTTTATGATATTTTTCATTATTATTAAATACAAATGTCGATGGGAAGTTATTAATTCTGCAAAATTTGGTTATAAAAAGAACTCTGACTGCAAATATTTTATACATTAATTTAATTGTTTGTGGTTTTTAGAAGAAAAAAAATATAAATAATTACAAAAAGTACAATAAAATTAAAATTCAATAGGTCATCGAGATCCACACTTTTACCTCTTTATCCCTCATTTTTTGCAATTTAGTGTTATTTAATTACATCGGATGTTATTAATCTGATTTTTTATAATAAAGAAATATTATAATTTAAATAACAAGGGAGTAAACGAGAAGGAAGTAAGGGGTTGTTTCGTAGTTGCTGAATGTTTAAGAGGGTCAGAATGATTAAGTGTTGAATGAAATATGGTTGTTTGGTAAATGTTCTCTGAATGACAACAAATTACCATTTAAACCGTCTGTATGATTTAGTACAGAATGAAATATAGTTGTTTGGCAAATATCTGAATAAAACAATTACTTTATCTACTATTACTAAACGAGTCAATAATATTAAACAATTTAAATTAAATTATAAATAGGTAACAAAAAACAAACATGGGTATACATCATTGGTAATCCCCACACCCTCAATTTCAATTTCATCACCCTCTTTATCAAATTGAAGCAAATTGAAGCAAATTGGAAGCAAATTTAGAAATTTCACTCACCGCCTTATTGGATGACAACAGAAAGAGGCCGATCTTGAAGCTACTGTCAATTTCAACCAAATCGTTTTTGATACCTCCATAAGGTGAAGTAGAAACATCGCCAGAATCATGAAGCTGCGGTGGCGGAGTTGAAGAAGAAGGTTGTGGCGGTGGAGCGAGAAAGGAAGCAAGGTTGTGTAGTTGACGGTCGATGGTTTGGGTGATGAGGGAGAAGTCTGGTTTGGCGGTGGGGGAGTGAAGAGGGGATGTTTGGTCGTCGTTGGAGTTGAAGGGATTATGAAGGGAGAGATAAAACCAAGAAGAGGGTATGGCTTTTGGGTTATGGGAAATGGATTGAGGAGAAAGATGCCATTGACGGTGGAAGTGTGAGGTTGGGGTTAAGGGTGACGACAAAGAGGTTGTTGGATGATGATGTTGCAGCTGGTGCTTTCGACAAAGAGGTTGCTGGAGGAGGAACGATGATGAAGGAGATGTGGGGGAAGGGTAATCATAGAAAAATAAGGCTCTAAACCATTAGGCAACCCTTAAATGCAAAATCGTTAAAAGGTAATTGTCACCATTAAGAGGTTCATTTTTTTTTTTTTGCCAAACTGCCCCTATCTCTTACCGATTAAGACGCTCCCTCTTAATGTCGCCATTAAGAGGCAAACAAACACCCCCTAACATAAATATAGAATTTTAACTACCACGAATATATGGGATAACTTAACTTAGGGACCGTTTACCAAACGCTTACTCGGGTAAGTGAATACTAAATCACATTACCTTACCGGATGAATATGGTAAGGACCAAGAATTTTACCCGGTAAGAGCGAGTCAATGACCAAGAGTCTTACCCGGTAAGTGAGGGCAACGACTCTTATCACAGTAAGCGCTTATAAGTTAAATTGTTGCATACGATACCGTTTTGGTGGATTAAAATCTTACTCGGTGAGTAAATGACAGTGTTAAATTTTATCGGTAAGTGCTTACCAGATAAGTGTTTGATAAACAGCCTCTTAGTTTTAATCAAATTTATCCCCAGTAATTGTGCTAACAGTAAGGATGGGCGAATCCTTAATCAATGAGGCCCAGGGTTTAAATCCTAGCACCATCGTAGAGGTGGATCCATGTACAGGGTAGAGGGGTATCCTGTCACCACCGTCAACCATTGACCACCACTGTTCATTGCCAACTCTACAACCACCATCGGCCACCGACTACCACCGTCCATTGCCACCACCACTACCATCATTGGCCACCTCCAACTCATCTTCTACTGGAACAACCTCCTTCACGATCTCCATGACTACCATTAATCATCGATCTCCACCGTCCATTGCCACCTCACCTCCACGATAACCACTACCACCACTATCTTCACTACATCAGCCACAACTAACTCGTCTATCATTGTCAACCGCCACCACCACCACAATCCACCATTTTCACATCCTCTATAACTACCGTCGTCCACCAACCACCACTGCCTCTACCTCCATAACCACCGTCGGACACCGACCACCACCGACCATCGCCATTACTACCGTTGGCCACCACCACCTCCACCACCGCTATTACTACCATCAATTATACTAAATTTTTCGTTCAAATTTGATACCATTATATATGTATGTATTCATTTATATGAAAACTGTGTAAGAATGTTTATAAACTAATTCTTTAATTATTTACATCATTTGTGTTAATTGTAACTATCATATAAAATTTAAAATCATCAAATAACTTTTGGGGATAACTTGTCTAGTTATGTCTCGTCCAGTCCTAATCGTACCAAACACCAGACATACATTTGTTCTGTCTCGTTCATTCCTGTCAAATCTTACCCTCTTGTCCTGTCCAATCATGTCTGCATACCAAAAACTACCATGTAGTGGGAAAAAAATTACGACTCTCAATGACATCACCATTGTGTTTCCTTGTGTGCTCCCACAAGACATCTTTACCGAAAAACTAAGAGTCTATAATAACATATCGAAACCCAAATTTGAGTCTTGATGGTTAATAATGTTTGAACACAAAAGTTGTAATTGCAAATCGTTGAAAATGAATATGATTTCTTAGTGTTATGCATTGATTTTGAAACTATAATTAAATTTTTTATTCTATTACGATTCATTTTTATTTTATTTTATACACTGTTCTAAAAAGCTCATCGCAACAGCCATCATGGCACGCCGTGACTCAAAGTTTGTGTATCACACCATGTTAAGCCGGTTGCACGTCATGGCCTAATGCACGGTTTTTGCAAGGCGATATTTGACTTTTCTTTATGTTTTTAATATCTTATTTGCTACTTTTTAATATATAACCTAATTTAAGTTGTTTACCATCACTGACTCGTTAGTAATAGTACAAAACATATATTTATCTACATAATAATATATATATATATATATATATATATATATATGATATAAAGATTTGTTGTCATAAATCACGTCTTAAAAATCGTCGTTGCCTCACCGCCATGCCACACCATTTAGAACCTTGATTTTATATCAAGATGGAACCCTAACTTTTGCTTAAAAGTTGATTGATTAAATATGTATGGTTATTAAATTAATTGTCATCTAATTACAGTCCATCTTAATTAATGTTAAAAAATTATACTGTTATATTATATGCAGGAAATATTTAATATTATAATATTCTAAATGGAATATTGTTGAACTCGAATTAAAATATTTCATTTTAAGAGTATTGACCTTTACTTTTCTTATTTTAAAAAAATTATAAACAAATTAACGTTTTTTTTTTTTTGCTTTTTTTCTAATTTTCTGGTGGAATTCGAACCGAAAATCTGTCGGTAAATTTTGTTTTTTTTTTTAAATTTTACTGAAAATATTCATCCGGTAATTATTTATATTTTTTTTATAAAAAATAATCCATATTTTAAATAAGGAAAAAAAATTACCGGCGGAATTTTCGTTGAAAATCCATCGATAATTTAGTTCTTATTTTTCAAAAAGTAAAACAATTTTTATTTTAAGCAAGGGATGAAATTTAAATAAAATTACCAAATTCTGCCGTAAAAATTAATTACATTTCTTACCCTGGATAATTAACTTGAGAAAATTAGAAAATATCAAAAAGGATTCTGACAAATTTATGACGTCTAGATCCACAAGAAAATACAAATCAGCTATAAATGCCATTGGATAAATATGTCTAACGGCGGAGGGTTTTCCGACCGGTTAATCAGTCATAAATTTATCAAAAATTGGGTTTTCCAATGGATTTGATTGTTAAAAAAAACCCTTTTTATATGGTATAATGAAATTAAATGAACCGGAAAAATAAAAATAAAAAGGTAAAGGGTATCCAATGATGTCAAACTCAAATCTAAAGCTATTCACTAATTCCTCATTATTTTTTATGCCATGATTTGCAATTTATTAACATCAAATTAAAAGAGAAAGAAAGTTAATCTAAAAGAGGAAAAAGAAAAAAATGGATTCTACCCCTAAATTTGTTCTGTGAGGTTTATATTTATGGTTGTAATAAAGTAGAGAGATTAAATGTGTAATTACCTCTTTTTTTTTTCTCTCTCTCTCTCTCTATATATATATATAGGGAAAATCAAATATTAACCATCATTTTTGTGTTAACTTTGAAAACTCTCTCAAC